GCGACTGATCTGCCTCGCCAGAGAAGAGCACAATGATGGTGCCAACTTGGGCCAGTGAAGCAACATCCTCCACAACTAGATTGAAGAACAAGACGACAGCAACTTGTCTGTTCCCCTTCCCCCAATTCCCCAGCACTGTTCCCATTCCCCCAATTCCCCAATAAAAATCTTTAAAAAAATAAATAAATAAATAAAAATAAAATAAAAGGTTCTGGAGAATGGAGCTCTGTCATTGGTGGGAGTAAGGATAGATACAATTTCATCTAAGAGCAACTTGGCAACAGCTATCAATCAAAATGTTTAAATGTACCTACTCTTTGACCTAGCAATTCCACATCTAGCAATTTACCCTACAGATGTTTTTGCTAAATATGTAACGATCTAAATTTTGTAAACATTCATTGCAGCATTGGATGAAAATTGAAAAAGACTAACAACCTCAATTTCCCTCAATAAGGAACCAGTTAAATTATGAAAAATGTATTTACTTAAATACCACATAGTCATTAAAAAGAGTTAGATCTATGTACACTGATTTGGAAAGAACTCCAATATATATTAAGTGAAAAAAGCAGGGTGGTCCTCGCTTCGGCAGTACATATACTAAAAAAATTGGAACGATACAGAGAAGATTAGCATGGCCCCTGCACAAGGATGACACAAAAATTCATGAAGCGTTCCATATTTAAAAAAAAAAAAAAAGAGGTGCAAGGTGTACATAGTGTAATTCCAATTGTGTATACACATACATACACACACACACTGCATTTGCTCATATATGTATTAAATTTTAATATATATCATACTGTTTATGAACATATATTGTATATGTTTATGTCCCACATTATATATTATTTTATATATTATATATAATTATATAAATTATAGGTTTTATAGAATTTATAATGTATATAGTATATATGCATATATATATAGCTATATAAGTTTATTGAAGAAACCTCTCTTATGAGAGGGAGCAAATTCTACTCTAAATTTTATACTCTTCTATACTATTTTAATTTTTTTAAACTATGTCCATATATTACTGATATAATTTTTAAAGTTTAATTTTTAAAATAAATCTCAATACTTTACCATGAGTTCAAGGGCAAAGTCTGGGCATTGCATTTTGTCTAAGTCACAGTTTTAGTACACATTAGGCACTCAAAAAATATGTGAATGAATAGGGTAGCTGATGAATGGAGGACTAAACAGACATTAACTAATGTAACAATAAGCTTTAAAAGTATAAAGAGATTTCTGGAGTGTACAGGAAGCTGAGGTGCATTTCTAGGATTAGCAGTATTAGCCATATAGTGAAAGGCTGGTTTCTGCCCTGAGAAATCAGAGCATAGATCTGTCATGAGGAAGTCCCCCAGCTTGGTTACAAGCCTGCTCCCCACATCTTCCAGTCTCAACAATGAGGGCCAGGATCTCTGATACCCACTCCTCCCCTTTAGAGGAACTATGGAGGAGGAAGAGGTTGCCTCTAGGAGGAAGAGTATAAGAAGAAAAGAGACAGAGACCAGTTCCTAGAAATTTATTAGAATCTATACACTGCTTCTTTGGCTTTTGCTCTACCACATACACACATATACAGAAATACTCAAGACAGCCCTGATGAGTGGCCCAAACACAGAGATTACAGCCAATTAGTAGGAAATCAGAAACCCAGCCACCCCAGTCTACCCCTCTCCTATCCTGACATCTGATTCAGCAGCCATAGTCAAGTGCCTAGGAAGAAGAAATAAAGCATAAAGGAGGACCCTTAATGAAGAATTTCTAGGAAACTTCAGAGATCCCAGAAGTGCACAGCCAAACAGTAGCTGAAGGCCCAGGGCCTAGCTTGTCAGAATGACTGGAAGATAGCCACAGCTTCCTCCCCAGCTCTGCTGTCCCATAAGTTAATTACTTGTTGCATCTGCACTGTCAGAATCATCCTAGGGGGAAAAAAAGACAAAAGCACCTGGAGAGTGTTCAAAAAGTGAACGTTTCTGTTCACAAATGCTGCTCGCTCCCTCCTGCTCTCCAAGTTTTCTTTTGTGATTTTCTGAGTCACACAACTTTTTGGGAGGCTAATACGGAAGGATATAAACTTTAAAAAATAAAATAAAACACTGTATTCAATAAACAGCCCTGTGTCATGCATCATTTAGTTTCAGATTTTTTTTTTAATTTTTAAAAGAATTTATTTGAGCCAAAATGACCATTGCCAGGAAGCAACATCTCAAATGCTCCTCAGAATTTCAATTAATGCTCCTGTTCCTTACAGCTGTAGAGATAGTCACAGGGCCAGGTCTGTTCCAGGATGGAGAAGCAGAGGGGGAGATGGAAGTGAGAGGGGTCTTGCTGGGGTTTTCTAAAGTCTGGAGAGGAACATTTGACCTCCTGTGTCAAATTCAAATTTGGCTTACATGAATGAAAACTACTGCATGCTAGGGACTGGGACAGGAGCTTTCTAGTGTCTTATTTCTAATTTAATTTTTTATTATTAAAAAAATATTTTTATAAAAATATAGCTAACATACAATATTATATTAATTTCTCTAGTATCTTTAGAGCCAAAAGGAAACTGAAGGGTTGAGGGGCAGGCTTTACTTACGTCCAGGTCATCCATGGCAGGGGGAGGTCTATTGGTGCTGACCTTCTTCAAAAGCTAATGGGAAGAGAAAAATAGTCACAAGAGAGAAGAAGGGTGAGGAAAGAGCAACCTGCATACTGATGGACCACAGAACGGTCCCAGCCAGACAATTGCCCTATCTTTTAACACATCACTGGAATGAATTAGAGAAAAGTAAATTGATTCCCTTTTAAAAAAGAAATTTAAACACACAGAGAGCACTCTCTTTACTAATCCAAGCTGGGGTCTGCTAGTGTTTTTGCAACTTGAATAAATAGTAGCTGAAATTCTGAAACCAAATAACATATGGCAGGGTGCAATTTATTGGGAACTAGCAATTTTTTAACATGAATTTTTATAATGTTTAATTTGATCTTCCCATGAAGTTGGTCTGGCTCAAGAAAACACACAGAGAGAAAAAAGAAGAGAGAACAAAAATTACAGAAAAGTAGGAAAAGAGTTTGCCAAACTTTTTCAGGACACAGGCTCTACTCTGTGAATAGTGAATCTATGTATACAATTTCACTAATAGAATATCCATTTCTCCCATCCCTACTAAATAAACATTGCACAAAATACATGAAAAATATCAGCACCAATGAGCAGCCTACCGGGGGAGCTCATACACCTCTGCCAAGCCCTGATGACAATCCTCCAAAGAAATGTGTGCAGAGACAGAATGATCAAGATGGGCAGAAAATGGTATTACCTCTGCATAATGTTCCACCTGAGCCAGCTCCACCTCTTCATCCCCTTCCCAGTCTCTCCAGTTATCAAAGTCCACAGACAACCACACTGGCTGCAAGAGGAAGCACGGAGAGTCACAGGCCAGGAGGATAGCAAAAGTGCATAGGAGAGTGTAGGTATATGCATTGGAGCATGGTTGAGGGAAAGAAGGTCAATGCGGGTACAGTCTTCGCAACAGCACCCCTTTGACTAACCTCCTCTAGGCTGCCATGTCATCATTATTATCCACAAAAATGTACCAGAAACCTACTAAGTGTCAAACACAATGCCAGGCATTGTAGGGGTTGGGAAAGCATAGACATTCTGCCCTCCAGGAACAGATTGACTAGGGAGATACATCTGGAACGACAACTGTGTCATAAAGCATCACAGAGTCAACCAAGCAAGACAAGGAGTCCGAGGCAACCCTTCAAGGCCCATGTTCCAAGTTCCCACACTTAGACAGGGAAAGAACTTATTCAAGCATTCATTTAACAGATATTTATAGAACACAGACTATGGGTCCGACTCTGAGCTTAGCACTGGGATTATAAAAATGTTCAGTATATAGCCATCAAGAAGCAAGTGGGGAAGGGAAATGTAAATACATCATTATAATACAGTGTGGAAAGGGTGGTGGTAGGTTATGTAGGAAACACGCATATTTTGGGAACTCAGGCTTCCAATAGCAGGGCCTTGAAGGATGAGCAGGGGTTAGGTTGGAGAAGGTAGTGGTGATGGAGGTTTTCCAGGAAGAAGGCACAGCTTGAACAAAGATACAGAGTTGAGAAATAACCTGATGTGTGCAAAACAGCTGCAAGCAGTTTGCTGTGGTTGGAATATGATGTTTGAGGCAGAGAGTAATGGGATATAAGGCTGCAGAGGGAGGAATAGCCATGTTGTGCACTTATATGTCATGCACGAACTTCAACCTAAAGAGCGGAAGTTACAAGCTCAAATGCCTGAAAGAGTCAGGGAGATAATAAAAAAGAGTCAAGTGAGGTGCAACACATGCCCCATTTAAAGCTCCATCTCTTGGCATTTGGGAATTTAGACTACTGTAGCCAGTCTTCATTTTCTGAAACAAACTGATAATGTGAATTTTTAGGTGAAATCTCCACATTTTTATATATCAGCAACTAATCAAAAATTTTAAATGTAACCAATCAAGATAATTTTTAAAACTGTGAAGACTTGGGCCGGCTGAGTGGCTCAGTTGGTTAAGAGCTCGCTCAAGAGTTTGAGCTCTGAGCAACAGCGGTTCGAGTCAGCCCGAGCTGAGCAGCCTCTGAGCTGCCAACAGGTGGCAGGATGGCTCAGCTAAAAAAAAAAAAAAAGATTCTAAAAAAAACTGTGAAGACTGCTGAAACAAATTTGAGGGGGGAGATCCAACCAGCAGGCAGCCAGTTTTCAACCTTTTAGGAGAAAAGAAGCCACTGGAGGTTCTTAAGTGAGGGACTGACAGAGTCAAATGTATGTTTTAGACAGACCATGCTGGGAGGAATGCATTAGATGGATCGGTAGTTGGGGGCTGACAATATGCAACAAGCCTCACCCAGTGATGGATGAGGCCTGAATTAGGAAGAGAGGAAGTAATGCATTCAATACTTAAATGGAGGTCAAATAGGCAGGGCCTGATGAGTGACTGAATGTTGGTTGTGGAGGAGGCAAGGGTGATTCCCAGACCTAACTTGGGTACCTGGGTACATGGATAGAGAGCACGGGAGAAAGAGCAGGCCGCTCCCTACCTTGTTATCCTCCTTGGTGAGCCGAGGCCAGGCTACATTTTCCTTCAATTTCCTCACAAAGCAAGTAATAGAGCGGCCAGAGCGCTTATCCTGAGAATCCTGCCAGATAAACAGAACCCCATTCTTAGGGTCTAAGGTTGAGAATGAATCCCCCATTTCCCAGACAGCCTTCCCATCCAGACCTTACTGTCCCACCCCACCCTTACCTTGGAGTTCACCTTGGCATAGAACTCAATCTCATTGTACAACTCCACTCCATCCGCATTCTTGCAGCTAAGGAAACAATGCAGCTGAGATACAAGAGGCTGAATGTGAGGGCATTAGGAGAAGGGAAAGGTTCCTAGGAAGCCAGCCCTCCAGAGGGGAGGGGAGAGCCATTACCTGAACACGATGCGGTGGTCTTCTATGAGCACCTGGACGTCCGTGCTGTCCTCAACACAAAACTCCATGAACACGTACTTGGGCCTGTCGTACCACAGGGTCCGGGCATGCTGCCTGAAGAGGAGTTGAGGTGGGGCTTCATAGGGGTGGGAGAGGGAAGACTGAGGGCATTTGAGAAAGATGGGAGGAGGGTAAAATATAGAGACATTTTACGCTACAGCCTAGTCAAAGTGGAGCTAAATGAGACAGAAGGGGCTGGAAGGGGAGTCACTGGCGTGGGGCTGGAAGGGGAGTCACTGGCGTGGGTTTGTGTGGTGAGGGTGAACGTGGGGAGAACCAAAAGTGTCAGAGTAGAGAGGTGCGGAGTTATAAGATGTGGGGGTCTAGGAATCTCCAGGGAAAAGGGCGGCCGGAAACACTCACCGTGCCATGGCGGCTCCCGCTACCCGGTGGCATTTGGAGTCCGAAGCTGGGGCCGCTATCTTTAGATCCTGGGGACGCCCCCAGCAGCTGCCTCTCCTTATATGGTTCGGGAAGGGTTTAGAAGCAGGAGAAATATGGCCCTACAGCTAAAGGAGCTGCACTCGGAGACTGTGGGAGAACATAATCCCTGCAGCCCTTCACATCTCCAGGTCTCCAGAAATGTACAGATTAGGTAGAGACGATCCACCAGCTGGGACCAGGGCAAGGGCTACGAGTAAACACTACACTTGATACACACGGAATGACTTGTCCGTGGCTTCATTCACCTGTTTCTCCAACTCTTAGTACACTCAGTGTCTGATTCACAGTAGGCGTTCAATAAAAAATTATTGGCCCCAATAAATCCCCAGGGAAGGCAGCCCTCCGTGACGTCTAAATTTGGTGAAGTCTGAGCCCTGCCCACCGCTCCTCGGGTTTCCCAGCCAGCGCGCCGTTGCCATGGCAGCAGGGGGCGCGGCTGACGTGTGGCGGAGTTTCCGGGAAGATGGCGGCTGTCGAAGCAGCTGCGGAGCCGGTTACGGTGGTGGCGGCAGTTGGAGCAAAGGCGAAGGACGCAGAGGAGGAGGAAGAAGAGCCGCTGCCACCATGCGAGGCGGTGCGCTGGGCCCCGGTGGGAGCGGTAGCGGAGGCCGGACCTGGGGCGACTGCTTTCTCGGAAGAGGCAGCTGCCGAGGAGCCCGGAGCGGTCCTGGGCTCCCCTCCTGACTCGCCTGGCCGGACTCTGCGGCGGCTGCGGGCGGAGCGGCGACGGCTGGACTCGGCGCTGCTCGCGCTTTCCTCGCACTTCGCTCAGGTGCAGTTCCGCTTGCGCCAGGTGGTGCGCGGGGCTCCCGCGGAGCAGCAGCGCCTCCTGCGCGAGCTCGAGGACTTCGCCTTCCGTGGCTGCCCTCACGTCCTGGGTTACGGGGAGCCCGAGGACTCCGCCAGCGACGAGGGCGACGGGCTGCCGGAGGACCGGCCACGGTTGCGGGGCGAGGATCAGGTGAGCAGCTAGGGCCCGGCTCGGAGGAATATGGGAATGGGGAGGTTGGGTGAGTACTGATGCTGAGGAGGATGAAGGTAGCCGTGGTGAGAAGCCGACCTGTCTAGAAAGGTACGTGCTTCGGAGACATGAAGACTGAGACAGGTGTATGGGGCCCGCTGATGGGCAGAAGGACAGAGAGGCCTGGGAACCTGATGTTGAGAAGTGTCCACGAAGGTGTTATGACGTGAAGGGCAGAGGAACAGTGAGCGAAGAGAGTATTCAGAGGCCAACAGAGCGAGCAACCAAAAGCAGTGCTGCTCGGGCTCACCTTGCCATCACCTCATAAAGTACCTAGCTCCTGGCACATTTGCTGATAGAGTGCGCTCACCCTGCGAATTGGGAAAATTGGTTAGTGAAGGGTAAGAATTGGAATGCATGGAAATTTAGATCTCCCTGTCCGTGCTTTCCTGGAATCTAGAGAATCTTTAATCTTTAGACTCTCTTGTCTGAGTGAGAGCTTTGGTGATCAGCAGAGTGTCTTAGTAATTAAAAGAAACACAATGTCTGGTAGCTGACAAGATAACATCCATTTATGAATGAAACACTTAATAAAATGGGTATAGGAGGAAAGTACCTCAACATAATAGTGGCCACATATGACAAACCCTCAACTAGTATCATACTTAATGGTGGAAAACTGAAAGCTTTTCTTCTAAGACCAAGAACAAGACAAGGATGCCCTCTCTCACCAGTGTTATTCAACGTAGTATGGGAAGTCCTAGCCAGAGCAATCGGGCAAGAGAAAGAAATAAAAGGCATCCAAATTGGGAAGGCAGAAGTCAAATTGTGACTTTTTGCAGATGACATGACTCTTTATATAGAAAACCCTAAAGACTCCACCAAGAAACACAACTCCTAATTACATGAATTTCCTAATACTGGTATTTTAAAACTCCTTCCCCATCCTGCTTAATAATTAGGTGTTCTGAATGAGGTGGCTTTGGTAACTGACGAGATTCATTCACTTAGCCTACCCCCTGAATTTATGAGAATCTGTATACTATACCAAAGGAACGAACGTTGTCTTACAGCCTTTGAGTCTCTGGAAGGGTGCAGTTGTACATAGGTGTTGAAGAGACTCACTGTCTTTTCTCCACCTTTTTATTTTTCAAGTTACAACCCACATGTGGCTTTCCTCCCACTTAAATTGGTTTTAACCAAGAAGACTTATCAGTAACAGATACTGAATTGTTTGTTTTAATCTGAAATGTTTCCAGTGCAATCCTGTGTTACTGTTCTACCCTCTTCTCCACATACCCACTGCTCCTTGCACAAACAAGAAACCGCCACCTCAAATTGCCAGACTTTTAAGGAATAGAAAAGATAGAATTACTGTGGCCAGGCCCTGTTCAGGAGTGAGGAGCACCAGAGGTTCTCCGTGGATGTGGTACTCTTCTGGTTATTCATTTTCACTTTTGGAAACAGAGTACAACTTTCTTTTAAAACGTAGTGTTCAAAAACACCTAGTAAACAGCTGTAATCTTGTGTGCATATATTGACACATGAACAGGTAATGCCAAAGTGAGGAATATGTGTGAACCATATGATTTACTTCTTATCAGTTCCAATTTTTTTTTTTAAGATTTTATTGGGGAATTGGGGAAGGGGAACAGCATTGGGGGAGGGGAACAGCATTGGGGAACAGACAAGTTGCTGTCCTTTTGTTCTTCAGTCTAGTGGAGGACGTCACTTCACTGGCCCGTGTTGGTATTATGATCATTGCGCACTTCCCAGGTGAGGCAACCGGTCACCGGCCATTGGATGGCGGCTCACGGCAGCTCATGCCAGCTCATGCCAGCTGCCTGCCGCTCACGCTGGCTGCCAGCCACTAGGGCAGCTTACGCCAGCTCACATCCGCTACTGGCTAGTCCAACTGCAGCCTACGCCATCGCCGGTGCCTCATGGCAGCCCAGCTCCAGGCCAAGCTGTTGTTCACCATCTTAGCTGTAGAGGGTGCAGCGTCACTGGCCCTCATATGGGATCTGAACCACGGCCCTGCTGCTCAGCCGGCATCCCAAGCCAACTTCTAACCAATGCGCCACTTGGCCGGCCCCCCAAAATTTTTAAACCAGTATTTTATATCATACTGGAACTTATTTCTGTTATTTTCTGCTTTGCACCGGAGCTCTTTGTTCTATTCTATTAAACTTGTTTGCTCACATTTCAATAAACAGCATACTGGAACTACCAGAGTTCAGGAGACATTCTTATGAAAATTGAATCAGGATTTATGACTGTGGAATCTTTCTTCCTTGGCTTTATAAAGTTGGGATACAGTGAAAACACTAAGTTTACCCAGTTCTTGCTCTTTGGGCTGGTCAGACAACTTCCTTCAGTCAGAGTTCATTACAGTAGTCCCCCCTTATCTGAGAGGGACACTTTCCAAGACCCCCAGTGGATGCCTGATACCTTGGATAATAACAAATATATATACCGTGTTTTTCCTTATACTTAACATGTGATAAAGTTTAATATATAAATTAGACATAAGAAAGTAACAACCATAATAAAACAGAACAATTATAACAATATACTGTAATAAAAGTTATGGGAATTGCTTTGGGCTATTAGCAAATATTAATAAAATAAGGATTACCTGGACTTAAGCACTGTGATACTGCAACAGTCAACTTGATAACCAAAATGGCTACTAAGTGACTAGTGGGTGGGTAGCAGATACAGCATGCATGCCTGGGTACGCTGGAGAAAGGAATGACCCAGGCTCAGTATTTCACGCTACTTAGAATGGCACACAGTTTAAAACTTACGAAGTGTTTATTTCTATTCTATCCTAAACTTACAAATTTTCTATTTAATATTTTCAGACCTCAACTGACTGCAGGTAACTGAAACCACAGAAAGCAAAACTGCAGATAAGGGGGCATTATTGTATTTGGAATGTGTCATTCTGTACCTGATTCAGTTCAGTACAACAAATATATATTGAGAGCTTATCCTATTCTAGGCACTGTGCTTGGCCTTGAGAGTACAAAGTCAAGGCCCTTATATCTGAGGCGTTCACAGACTGGAAGAGACAGAATTCTAAACAAATAATTGTAATGTGACATGAGCAAGAGTAGAAGTCTGTACAAAATGCACAGCAGGAAACGACCAGCTCTGCCTGGGGAAATCAAGGAAACCTTCTCTTAAAGAATAGGTAGGCCTGCACTAAGAGGGGAGAGGGACAGTGTTCTAAGAACAAAACCACAACACAAGGATTGGAGATGGAGGATCCTGAGAAAAGGCTTGCTTTCATGTTGAATAAAGCTAAAGCGAGGGTATTGTTTTTTAAATGGCTTGAACAAAAAGTTAACTTGTTCTCTTTCATTTGTTTTCTCTTGTACCTTACTTATGGAGGGCTTGGTAAGTACCATTTTAAGGTTAAATTTAATATCCTGTAGACTTCTAGTTTGAAATACAGCCTTACACTTGCATAATTTGCTGGGTTTGTTTTGTTTTGTATTTATACTCAAAAGGCATGAAAAGACCAATGCTTGAGCATACATTGGCAAGGCTTTGCCGCCCTGAAGGGATTTAATAATTTAAATGCAGAAGCTACCTGGTGGCCAACAGTGGGAAAAGGAATCACTGCTCAGGGAAACTTATCAGACTTTTTATTACCCTCCCACCCTTGTTACTTGGCTTTTAGATTTTTTTCAACTGCTCCAGGCATCTGTGTTTATTCTTTTTTATTTTATTTTATTTATTTATTTTTTTAAGCTGAGCCATCCTGCCACCTGTTAGCAGCTCAGTGGCTGCTCAGCTCGGGCTGGGACTCAAACCGCTGTTGCTCAGAGCTCAAACTCTTGAGCGAGCTCTTAACCAACTGAGCCACTCGGCCTGCCCTTGTGTTTATTCTTTTGATTTTGCAGAAGTCTATAATACATTGGAGTGGCTCTGAACCTTTAAAAAGTGGTTATAATTTATAAAGCCTTTTTCTACACCCTTCCCTCCAGATTCTCTTGCAAAATTTGGCTGCAGAAAATATTCAGGAGTTGTTCTGTGGTAATTGGCTGTGGAGGATGGCATGTTTAATTCCTGGGAGACTGTC